CTATTTTAGAAATATGAATGACGAGAATAGCAGAGCATAATATAAATATATATATATGATCATATATATAAGTATACCAAACACACATATATACGCATGCTCGTATATAGAGAGAAATGGGTTGACAAATGAGGTGCGTTAAAGAGTTGTTCAGAGCTGGTCTAATTTGGCTGCAGCGTGTTATGCGGGTATTTTCGTTTGAATACATTAGGCTAGAAAATAAAAATTTATATATGTATAGGATATCCTTTAGAAATACACACATACAAGAGTTCATACAAATTTTCGTATAACTTAGAATATTTGTATATACATACATAGTACATAAGTGCATACATCAAGTATATGTATATCTTAACTCATTTATATAAAAATGCAAAATATGTAAATAGGTATGTATTTATTTATTTGCACTCTTCATCATACCCTGCACAGGGTACGCGAAGTAGTCGCTCAGTTTTTGAGATAACAAACTGAATTTTTGCACACATTCTTTTTTCACCAAGCAGCTGCTGACTTGACTTTTGCCAGAAATTGTTCAGATCGGTGCACTAGCTGCCATGTAAACTGACGAACAAAATCAAAATAAAGATATTTGTATACCCATTTATGTTGTAAGAAATGCAGCTGTGAAGGGTATTATAGCTTCGATGCAGCCGAAGTTAACGTTTTTTCTTGTTTTACTTTCAACATGCGTTGAAAAATCACCAAAAATTTAAAAAAAAAAGCATTAATTTATGCATATAGGTATAAGCATATATTTGTATAATTTTAGATAAAAAAAAGAGAAAGTTGCATTAAAACACCTTTAAAAACAAAATATTATTCTACATAGCACATATGTATATATGAATATCTTTCATTCAAAACAGTGAAAATATTAGTTTGGTTGCTTTAAATATAAAATAGGTCACGACACGAATTGGACGCGGTAACTTGTTCCAAATACGATAGTATATATGTATGTATGTACATGCATAGACAATTTTGTGTACAAATTGCTATATGGCTTATACTTCCGAGTACATAGTATATAGGTACGTGTATACTCGAACGTGAGCACATGAATAACAGAAATAGTACTCGTGCACACAATGTAGATAAATTGTTGTGTATGCATGTGTGTATGTACGTCGATCGGTGGGTGTGTGGGGAAATTAGGTTAAGCGCGTGGCATCGGCTAGAGTTGGAATCACATAGTAAATATGAAAAAAAAAAATACGACGGAATATGCAAAAAAATAATATTTGTATTGGCTGGCTGGCTGGCAGGTGTGGCATTTGTGTGTGACGTCTACTGTTGCAAGCGATGACGTATTCATTATCTTGATATTACGACACACTTATCCTATGACGCGCCTTACCATGTAGTACACACACAATGGCTGCTCATATTAATTGGAAGTGCGAATAGTATTTTTGTGAGTATTCATTTATGCGTCAACAGTGTGAATCATAGTATTTAGCTAAAAATGCATGTTTGTGTATGAAATTATGTATAGACAAATATGTTCGGTTGTCAAGAGGAATTTTTTTCATAATTTTTGGGTGTTGCTTAAGAGTTGCGGATTAGCACGAGCGAAAACAGCTGGGTTTTTTGTGCTTTTCTAAGCATGACTGATTTGCTACAAAAAAATATATATGTATACTTACATACATACGTAATATATAAATATAAATTTTGTTTTTTTTAAGAGGTTATATCCACTTGAAACACAGAAAAAAAAATAACAAAAAAAAAATAATGTGCATTTACAGAATTAAAAATACCTTAATAATCCGCGATTCAATGAAACATTTTAAATTCCCTTGATCTCGTAGCCGATCTCAAATCTCAGGAAAAGTCTTGATATTTCGACGATAAAAGCTGTTTGGTAAGGTTTAATTTTTTAGAACCTCCGAAAAAAGGTGTCTGGCGATGACGAAGATTTTTCTGCTTAAATATATCTCAAATCCAAAAATAACAAAAATTATAAATATATATGTATATATATAGATGAATGGTAATGATCGAAGAACAAGTCAAAATTTTGATTTTTGACAAAATGCCTCGAATTCTCGAAAAAAGTAGTTTTTTTTAGAAAAAAATTACACTTCATTACCAGTAGGTTGTGTGAAAGTTTCAGTTCGGTTTCGGAGAAATTTTTCACGCTGACACTGAAAACGATGTTTCGATAAAAACGAACGGTTTAACGTTTTGGAAGCCCATTAAACTAAACTAAAAAACCTTTTTACCAATTTTTTTCATATCTCCGAAACTAATTTGCGGAGCGACTTCAAATTTTCGAAGAATTATCTCAAATACATGTGCATTCGATATACGTACATATGTATAGGCAAAAAAATACTCGATTTTTTTAAATTTACAAATTTCAATAACCCCTTCAAATTAGAATTACAATACATTGTCACATTAGAATTTTGAAAATAAATAATTAACCTCTAGAAATTTGAATTCGTGTATGTACATTTGATATATGAAGTATATAGGCAAAAATATATTATATTTTTCGAAATTTACAAATGTAACTAGCACCTAGATTAGAAGCGCAGAATTTAAAAATTTTCACATTTGAATTTTGCTACAGAAGATTCGAAAATACATTTCTAGGGGATGATAACTGGAAGGCATAACAGAAGTAACACAACACAACGGATTTTATCCGTCCAAAAGCTGTTATTTCGACGCTTTAACCCTGTTTGAACCGGTAAATATTAGTAATATTACATTTCTAGAAGTACTGAACCAATCCACATAATAAAAGTATGCTATAGAATTATTGAAAAGGAATGTTATATGACATAATGTTCGGCGAAACCACTTTTATTCATTATCACTGTACTATAACATAATGAAAGCTGAAAGCCAACCTTTTGACTAATTATACATGTATGTATGCATTGGCATATGTAGATAATGTAACACATTACTACACTCACACGTATGTATTATTTAAGTGCCCCCCCTTGAAATATGTTTTGTCAAACGACATTGGCATACTTGTGCAACTAACATCTGAACTGCAATGCAAAAATTGTATTAAATATGTCAAGGTTACAGGCATGTGCTCCACTTTTGCAACGCTTAGCATATACATACATAAATGCCGACAACAACACCGCCCACCTACATAAAAGTGAACAATAGCCAAAAGCCGTCAACATGAAAACAAGCAATACACTGCAAACCTGCTATATACTTTTTAATGCAACTAGATAGCATAAAATGCTACTTCTACTAACGACAACAAAAACTATGTACTGTATATATACAGATATATAAACATATGTCGATCATAGTTAGCACATACGAGTGCATACATACATATGTATGTAAATATATAACTTACGAGACATTCATAAGTATGTAGATACACAGATATAGACAAAACCAAAATTTCTTAGAAAATTCTCAATATTATATTAAAAAAAATTTCGGCAATCGCCAACGTGTTCGAAATAAGTTACATTTCTATTTTCACTTTTAGGGATTTTAATCAGGTGATTAGTGTGAATAAAGTTAAATAGCTTGTAGAGCGTATTGAAAGAGTCTTAATTGGTACTGTATACGAATTTCTATAATAATGAATTGTATTTGAGTTAGCTTTCCAGCAGGGGTATTATATTTGAACATAAATATGTACATATGAAAGTATTTTCCCAATGTCAATACACACACATGCATCGATAAGCAATCTTTTAGAATGCTCCACAAACTTAAGCGTGTAACGTCTTATACGTTCAGAAGTATTTACGGATATAAGTACATAAATAACTACGTAAATACATACATATATATATACGTAGAAATATCGCACGTGACATTGGTTGTTGAAACATGCTAAAGAGAAAATGACATGAAACACGAAAACAAAAAATTTCAGAAAAAACAAAAGAAATTATTATTATCGGCCAGAAAAGTTAGTTTTGAACCATCTAGTAATTGTGCTGATTAAGTGAAATTATTAGTATAGATGAGAATTTTAACTGAAGATTTGGAAAAAAGAAAGGTCTATGCGAGTTTTACTTCACATGAATTAAATAAAAGCCAAAAACCTTAACGAGTTCTTCATACTCTCATCAACCACCCTCCATATTCGCCTGATCTAGCTATCACCATATGACTATCTATCACCAAAACTGAAAACCAACATGATATCCCCCCAAGACATTCAAACAGCCATAACCGAGATGCGGAAGAATATAAATGATATAAAAAATGCTAAGCATGCGCTGGTTGATCGTTCCAAACGTTGCATTGCATCTAGTGGAACCCATTTTGAATAAATAATAGCTTTTAAATATAATATAATGTGCATTTTATACTATATATCTAAAAGGTTCGGTTATTTTTAGGACACACATTGTAGTTTGTTATTTGGGCATATTAAACAACCAAATAGTTACAACAACAACAACCAAATCTTCAAATCGGCACTAGTTTGTTTCGGAAATTATTTTGATTGTTTTTGCTTTGTAAAGCCCAGAACTTCAAAACTTCCCATAATTGGTATTACCAAAAAGTCACTTTTTAAGATAATGTAAATCAAATTTATTACTCCAAATAAATTTTGCGCGAGTATATATATATACTACGCGAATATATACAAATATCGGTATATAAGTTGTTTCTTCTTATTTGCTGCATTGTCGTTTTTAATTGCCACATAGACGTGATGACATTAAAATCGCCTTGTGCCACTTAAATACGCCAGCTACGCGATGCTGACGGCCTATGCGCTTAATTCGCAGAAAATCAAGTGCAAAATTAAACCGAAATGGAAGAAAATTCGAACAAATATGTACATTAATATCAGGTTTTTATGAAACGGGACGCACTAAATATTGCTTAATTTGTATGTATGTATAGAAAAAGCTTAGTTTTTTGCAACATATTCAAATTTAATATAACAATGGTATATATTATTGGTGGTAGATATCTACCCTTTACTCCATATCGAATTTGATATTTAGATGATAAACTAAGTAAATTGTACTTACATTTAGTATGGACTTGTGTAACTTCTTCAATTTCACGTTGCATACGTTCTAATTCCGCATTGTTGTTACCGTTAGCGAGTTCGCCTTTGCGGTTGCTTTCCCTATTTTTACTTGACACCTGACCACTGCTACTTGCACCGTTGACGCTCATTTGCTGTTGTTGTTGTTGCTGCTGCTGCTGTTGATGGTGTTGTTGTTCATGTTTGTATTTGTTCTGAAGGTGTTGTTGTTGTGAATGGGAGGCAGCCAATTGACTATTACTGTTACTGCTACTACTGCCGCTAACAATAAGTGTTGGCATTCCACTACTGGCGCCCCCGCCATTAGCTTTTCGATTAGCCTTGTCATCATTATCGCTATCACTGCTGTCAGGCACTTCGATAGTCTCTGCCACTGGTAATGCATTCATCTTTGCAGTAAGTTGCACATAGTAAGTATTTTTATTATTATTAATATTATTGTTATTATTGTTGCTAGCCGTTGTCTTTTTATTTGACGTCGAGCTACTGACTTGTTGATGTTGCGATTGTTGTTGTTGTTGTTGAGGCATTTGTGGTTGTGCATAACGTTTGCTCCCATTGTTATTGTTATTGATGTAATATTGGTTGCGTTGATCTTGCTTGTTATTAGTTGTAATTGCACCCTGTCTTGTGTACTTGCTTTGGGTATGTACAGCCATATGAGCGCCAGCTGGCAGCGTTGTGGAATTCGCAGTACCCGTGTTTACTTTCTGACGCTTGCTTCGTCCACCATTCATGTGCTGCTCGGTAGAAGATTGGCGGGTACGTTTTCCACCACCACCACCACTAGTGAAATGTGTATCATCCGTACTCTGTTCATAGAAACCGCTTTCGTGCTCAGCCTGTCGTCGAGTGCTCATCTTTTTAACAGTGGCACTAGCGGTTAAGTTCAGAGCTTTGGTACTGCTACCGCCCGTGTTGTTGGTATAATAACGACTCATTGTGCCAAACACCTTGTAAAATATGCGGTTGTAATGTGTTTGTTTACTTGTATATTGGAAAGAACTTCAGTTTTTAAGTTTTATGTAAATTGTTTTGAATTTATGGTTTAAAAAGTTTTTATGAATTTAATTTTTTCAATTGTGACATTTATTCGTGTTCAACTTTTTGACAATCGATGGTTATTTTCCGAATGGCAAGCTAGTCGCACTAAAATATATGTATATACATAATATCTTCCTCGATTGCTTTACTTCACGAGGAACTTTTAAATGTTGGGAAAATAAAGAGAATCATGTTTCAGTTTTCGATGGAAAAAAGATTTTTTGGTAATTTTCAAAAGAAGCAAAAAATACGGTGGGAGGGGTATTTCGCTAGAGCGTTGAAATGTTTGTAATAGTTGCGGTCAACTTGACCTGCACTTTTGCGAGGCTAATACTGCATTAGCTGCCACTGATTTTATAAAAGTATTTGTTGTTGTTAAAACTTTTGCAGTTGTGCCCATTTTTTCAAAACTTCGTGTAATCTGTAAAGAAAAATTATTCACAATTTAAATAAAGTATACGATTGTTCATCATATTTATTTAACAACATTTAACTTATTCAACTGAATACTGTTTGATATTGTCATATTAAATAAATATTACGGCGTTCTAAATTTCAATAATTTTGTCAAATATATAAATCTTTGCTAACTTATCATATGTTTGCTGCTTGAAATTTCGATTAATCTGTTTAAATGCCATGCAAAAAGGTAATCAGAGAGAGAAGTTTGTTTCCAATTGGGGAAGACGTGTCACTTTCTTGACATTGCAAGCTCTCTCCGCTACTTCTTTCGACCTTTTATCAACACAAAACACACATTCAAACACATATACATAGATATATATGTTAGCACAACTGACAACTCCACCCACAGTGTGATTATCCAGCTGCTGTTATTAAAACTCACCTTTAATTATTTGGCTAGTTAATCCATGCATTGATAAGTATTTTCACACATTTATATGTTTAAAAGGAGTAGTTATAACTTTTTAGCAGTAATAATTCATTTATTAAATTATGTAGTTACTCGCAATATCAATATTTAGAATATCGTAGAGATACTTGCTTTTTTTTGGCGCTTCTTATGATTTAACTTTAAATGTCGAGCACCGATTTTTCACAAAACTGAATTCTATAAAATATAAATATTCATTTTCACAATAAGTACATCTATTTTTATTATCTCAATAACTTTAATTTATAGCTACACGCGCCTATTTTTCGCTTTGTCGCTTTCGTCAGATGGCAGCCGTTTGTAAACGAATTCACCACCTTACCACACACAAAGAAATTAACACCACGCCATTCCAACACATATGCAATATTTTCAAAGCATGGAAGAGTTGTCAAAATGGTGATGACAGCGCAAAAGAGAATTTAAAAAAATAGCAAAAAAAAATAATTAAAAAACGAAATTTTCACTTTATATATTTTTCACTTTAAAACTGCACTTCAGTTTAGCATTAAACAGCCTAAGATTTTTTACTTCTTAAACTTTAAGTATTTTTATTTTATTTTATTAACATTTAATCCCTTCAAGGAATTTTAAAGCTTTAATTTTACCCAAGCCTTCTTTTATTTTCTTACACTCACTTGCATTATCTATGCACCAAATAAGATTTCACCGAACCCGAATTCCGACCTTTGCTCAGCAACAAATATGGCAAACCATGTTTACGCATCCACGATTCATCTTTTTCGTTACACGATATTAAATTGATCTATTTGTTAAGAAATTTTCACGATTTTCTTTAAAATATACACTACGAAGATGTACGAACTAGACGACGTGACATCCACTCCGACACACTGCGTAGTTATTTTTAAAATGCCTAATGTCTTTTCACCTTACATACTTCTTCGTTGCACACCAACTTCGAATGTCAGCCGAGCCACTGTCAATACATATTCTCTTTCGATGACGTTTATCATTTCATTCTTTATTTTGCTTCCGGTTAAAAACGTGATCAGCTGATTTTGACAATGAAAAACTACAGTAGGCCCCAAAATAGTTTTATATAATGTTACAAATTTATTAACGTACACTTTTACTAATATATAATATAAAAAAACTAAATAATAATCCCATTATTTTTAATATAGAATGTTTTACAGGGACCGAATGCTTCTAAAGTCATTTTAGTTATCTTATTAACGTTAAATCCGCACTTATTTTATTTTTCTGTCGCCATGTGCATTAATTTTTCTTAACATATATATAATACTTAGTATTAAAGTAAAGAAAGTAATAACCAAAGTAACAAACATGGTTTGTGCACATTTCAAAGTTAAAATAATTTTGTTAAATTAAACCTTTCATTTACCTATTATTTATTTTTTTATTCAATAATACCACATGTACATATACATATATGAATATGTATAGGTAAATGTGTCAGTATAGATGCATTATTTCTTCCAGAGTTTTTCGTTTCAAATCCGGCACAACACAGTCATCGGCGGCATAACCTACAGGTAATAGCAAGAGCAGCTTTTCGTTTTCCGGTCTATCGAGTAGCATACGCAGGGCAAGCCCACAATTCAAGGGAGTAGTAACCAATGAATTCAAACCAGCCGCCTGTAATGCACATAGTAAAATCCCTGTGGCTATTGCTACCGATATCTCATTGTAGTAATGTTGTTTGCGCTCGCCATTTGATAGATAACCATATATTTGCTTGAAAACCAAAATTAAGTAAGGTGCATCCGTAAGATAAGGTTTGATGTGATTTGTACGTAATGGTGTCAAATCAGTCGTCCACTGCCGATGCATACGTTGGACATAATTTATTTCCTCTTCTGTTTCGATTATCGCACGAATACGTTGTTTTATATCCGGATCACTAATCACACAGAATGTCCATGGTTCAGTGTGTGCACCGCTCGGAGCTGTGCCAGCAGCGCGTATACATCCCTCGATCAATTCAAGTGGCGGAATTCGTGTAGCGCTATAAGAGCGTACACTTCGACGATTGTCAGTTAATTCATAGAATTGTTTTGTACCACCAGGAAGAGTCACTGTTGCCCCAACAAATGGCACATGATTATCTACTTTTAATGCTGGCACATACCTGTTGTTAGGAGTAGTGTCATCATGTGCCTGTTTATTCTCTTTGATCTCTTTGCTATTAAAGTTAACTGAAGATTTCAAATAAATTTTTATAAGCAATTTTTTTTTAATATTATTATCACAACATACTTACCACCCACATATTCTTCGCCGTCCAACAATGTTTTCCTATGCTTACTAAATTTAAATATTTTCCTATACCTTTGTAATTTACTTACATGGCGCACAAATTTTACAAAAGCTATTACCAGGAGCGCAGTCAAGGCAAATTTCCAATTTTTTACCAACCACGAATTTAAAAACAACAAACTTATTTCCATTATTCTAATGAGAACGCGATCTCTGCTGTGCACTTCTACAATTAATATTGATATCTATTTTAATTTGTTAATATCAGCTGAACTACAAAAGATTTTCAAAGTCAACACAATCTTTTTGCAAGTAGATTACTTGTTGACCTAAATATTAATGTGGTGTAGAGGCATACATAGTTACATATATAGCAAATCATACATATACGTCTGGGGGAATTTTGATAAGATTATTATATTTATTATTATTAAAACGACTTAAAAATCATTACAAGATTATCTGCATACATTAAAAGTCAAACATTAAGGAGAGAAAAATGAAAACTTATGTATGCACATATATACTGTATATATACATATATGCACGCGTTCAATTTCTGCCAGTTGTATTGAAAAATTAATTACAAATTTTACTTATTCTTATACTCATTTCGCTTTTTAGTAAACTAACATATGTGTAAATTATTGTATATATATTCAAAATCATACAACTCAAAAATAATAGACTTAATTTTGTGTATATAAACATTTACATAATTATTTTGCTTAAATTATTAACTAATTAATACTAACATTATTATGATTATTATTACTTTACTTTATATGTAACATCTGTCTGACTTACTCATACTTAAAGTCAACCATTAATAAGCTTTTTTTTGTGAACTTCACGTAGGACATCCAAAATTTTCCATTTAGCCTCAAAGAATATTTCATCTGAGACATCTTGAAGATCAATTTTTACCATTTCACATAGACTATCCAATTGTTTCGTGTACATCAGCGTTCGCTTAGGTGTACTCTGATTTTCAGTTGCATTTTCTGCATTGGTATCGTTGTTGCAAAGTGATGGTTGATGTGAGGAAGCCTATAATAAACGAAAAAATATTAGTAGTCTAATCTTTAAAAATAAAAATTATTTACCTCTTGGATTTGTGGATCACCAGGTGTAAAAATAGAAAAAAACTCCTGGCACTCTTTTACATCCTCTTCAAGATCGCTATCATTCGTCACATCGACATTATTACTAATGGCTGTTCCTTTAAGATGCGATATGTAGCACTTATGACGGTTCAAATTCGACGTCTGGTTGCCATTAAATTTGTATAGGCGCAAACATTTGCGACAACATACAAAACCATCTAAAATGGTTCCATCTCCTTTTTTGATCTGAGCGTAAACGCTCCAGATTTCGCTTTTACCTTTACGTTTCTGTGACAGTTCGTAAACACCATCCTTAATTTTCTGCAAAACACTCTCTCGATAATTCATTGAATTGCGTATATTGCTAGCAGCGTTATAAGATATACACATATTTTATAAATAAACTAAACTCAAAATCTAACTGAAGTTATTTACAACTTAGTTATTGGCATAATATTTTATCACCGTTTAATATTTCATTTTTAAACTTCAATTCAATTACAGAATATAATTGCAATACAAGTACTTGATCTGGTACTACTCGCGTATCATTTGTTATGTTTATGTCTCGTACTCAACAATAATGATTCATATCGGGCAAAATGAGTGTGATTTATCGATAAATTTTACATTTTTTCACTATTACTTTTATTTAAAATAGATGTCCCAAGTTGCAATAATCTCGTTTTACAAGCAAATTCCTCCAAAAAATTCCAAAGCAAATCTAAGCATTGTTCAAGACGTTTTGGAAACCTTAAAATATCATATCATAATTAAAGTTTGTATTTGTCATGAAAGAACAGGCGATTAAAGCTCAGCGATGAGTGTTGCTAATCAATATCCGATACTTTTGGCTTAAATTATTAATTTAATTGGCAGTTATATTAAAAAGATCGTACAGCTAATGTGTGTTTTTAGATATCTGTATTATTTTTCGTCGATATATTGGAGGCATGTTCTACGGTTGTGGATGGATGCAGGAGGTTAGAGAAGGAGTGCAGACTGTCAAGTGTGACTTTCCCTGCCAAATTCACGGCAAACGTATTTACCCACTGGACGAAGGAGTACAGACTGGACCTCAACAATTCCGTCGACGACGTCAAAATTCCGACGATAAATAATCCTGAAAGCGGACAGTGTCTTTAAATCTGCTTTATGCAGGGAAAATGCAACTTATATATGAATATGTTTGTAAACAATCATTATAAGGTAAGTTGTGCAAACAGTGGCACCCGGAAATTGATTTTCTCAGTTAAACTGCTAACAAAAAAATTATGGTATAACATTTAAAAAAAAAATTTAATCATTTAAAATAGAGCCGAAAATGTATATAATATACCATATATGCCTAAATATTCATCTATTGCAGTCAATGAACTAGTAATTCTTATTTATAAAATGCACTCCTTATACGTACATACATGTATGTATGTATGCTTATATGTACATATATATATAAGTATTGAAGTCAAAAGTATAGAACGGAAACTTTGCAAACTACTAACAAAGAATATAAAAAAAATTGGAGGGAAAGCGGTGTGGGTCGGGATTACTGTAGCATATCCTATTGTTTTCAACGCCGTTGTCAACGAGTACAAAAAGTCGTAATGGTTGTTGTTGTGGCTATTGACGTTGCCCGTGCTACTGTTTGTGCATTTATTAATTGAGAGACATATTTACATGTGTATACACATACATATGTACATATGTGGATGCATGCACAGTTGTTCATAGCATTGTATGTCACATTACATATTTGTAGTACATATACAAGTACATACATATGTTTTGTCATAGACAAACGGTTGGTGATCCAATGAGTGCGTTCTTTTCGATTTTTCTTCTCCATTCTTTTCAGTGTATGGTAGGAAGAAACACAGTACATTTCTAGTCTCAACAGGAATTATATTGAAGAAAAAGTCGTGTAAATGGTGATATATAAAAATAAATCGCTAATTCAAGGTTTTTATAGCTAAAATCAATGTCAAGTGTGCAACCAAATCTTTGCAATATGCCCACAAACGTTTGTGTGTAACTTTGCATCAGCTAAACTTATAATTGGTTGTACTGTGGATGGTATTTTTTCTTAGGTCTACGTATCGACCGGATATGGAAAGTGTAAACCTAGATAGTTTGAATAATTAAATTTGTAATGCCTTAATGTAGCAATAAATATTCTTTATTACATAGTTTGTTATAAAAGCAAGACATTAGATAAAATATAAATCACATCAAAAAAAGTGCACTAATTTTGATCGGATAGAATTCTCTGCACCATAAAGTCAGTGTATAATTTTCAACTATAGTTAAAATAATCGTGTTCAAATATAATACTTATATGGAAAGTGTGTGAACTGTAATAACAAAATAATTATATTAGCACAATTAGTGGTCAGTTGATTCGACCAATTCATATTTATCCGATTAGCGGAAGCGGCATACCTACATATATAATGGTGCTAAAAACCTCAAATGTGCTACAAATAATTATCACCTTTTAAACGAATAAATACAGATATATGTATATACATGCATATATACATACGCGAAAGCTGCTCAACTCATTGGTAAATCACTTTACCATAACAATGTAGGCAAAAATTGTATTTCTAAGTCAAAAAATTTCAATTAAAAATGAAATATTTGTATTAATTAATTAATTTATATTTTTATAGCTCATAATTAACAGAGTCATTTGATATAATATGCATATGTTTGTTTAGGCGATATTCGCCCTTTATCAGATGCAACGTTCAACTCGGTAGAAAAATAGCCTAACCGCAAAACAATAAATGTATAAATCAATTGAGCACCGTAAGACGGCTGAATTGTTGATTTTTATGTCGGAATATTGCTTTCATGTGCTTAGAAATATAAGAATATAACAATCAACAGAAAGCAAGAAAACGATATAAACGTGTGCTAAACGAATATACATAGTGCTAACGCTGCCAAAACATTGGATAGCTTCTATTAACTCAGTATTATTATGCGCTCGTTACGTTAAACATGTGTGTGTTAAATTTTCGTTTCTTATCAATGGTATATCTATAATTGTCAGTGCGCACCGATAACACTTTGTGGCTGAAAATTACGACAACGTTGTATCGCTGACCAAATACCAGTATTTCAACCAACATGGACGAAGTATTTTCATTACATTTAGGAAAACTCGACATATTTGATGGTAAGTTTTATATATTTAATACATAAATTGTTTACATGTAGTGCTTATTAATATTTTTATAAACACATATGTTTTCACAAATATGTATATAGTCATATAGTCGTACAAATACATTTTACATATAGAACATCTAGAAAAATGTTAGATAAATTTTGCCAACTGATAGCACATTGAAAGCGACTTTACACTCCAATCATATTAAGATACATGTGAAAATAAATATCACGCCTAGCATATGAACAATTAACATGCTTTTTAACCTCCTCCGTGCTGTATTTTACGGTTTTTGTTCAGTCATGTGCCATCCATACTGTCATCCTCGTCGTCTGTAGGTTCATTAAGTATTTTTTGCAGAAACACTTCGTGTTCCTCTTTCTTTACATTGCCTAAAAGTAAGCTTTTAAGTGTTTCTACATGTTCTTTTACCTCTTTAATAGAGGCTTCCAACTTTATATTATCGTTTTTGAGTCGCTCTACATTGCGTTTACGTTCTGTTGCAGTCTCTTTAGATTTTTGTCGTGTTTTCTTCACCGCCTGTAATTTACACACTATTTAGCAAACATTTATTTTATATTGAAATTGTTATTTCTATTTAATAATTACATCGTTGTTTCTTTGTCTTTTTTCTCGGTATGCATCATCATCATGTTTTGACGCATCTGATGTGTTTCCACCGCCACCACTAGTCTTCTTCCTCGCTGGCATTTTATCTTTGGTTATACTATTTTCTATTTGAAATCGTTAAAAGCATTAACCAATATGGATAAAATTATAAATTTACAAGCGTATAAAAATTGTAAACACCAACGAAAATACGCAGCCAAACTTACAATTGTGAAATACCAGGATGAAAACGTCAAGCCCAAGAGGAATAGCGAAAATAAAGAAAACGTCAAAAAATTTACAGAGATGCATGAAGGAAGAATATTTGTTTTCTTAGGAAATAAATATGTTAATTACAGTTTTTAATTGAATTTTGTTTTAATATGTTTATGGTGATTACGGTGATAATCATTTAACAAATCTAATTAAATTTTAAAATAGATTTCTTTGTTTGTTTATTTTGTCCCAATTATCTCATTTTGATTAAAAAAAAGGAGACTGATGGGTAGAAAATAAATTTGGATAATTCAGAAATGTGCTTACTAAAGTGTAGCTTTATGAGTATTCTAAGCAAAACAAACGAAATAAACATGGGTTGAATATAAAAAATAATGTTGCACTTAGCTCACATATATATAATACTAGCTTCTACCCGCGGCTTCGCTCGCATCGAATCCATATTTGTGTTATTTCTCTGATTTACGTATTTTATACATTTATGTTTTCTTTCATTTTTAATTTTTTCGACAAACAATCATTTCTGCCAAACTTTTTTTTTCAATTTCAAAATTTTCAAATTTATTTTCCAAACATATATAATCTTCCAAAATAATTTTTTTAATAATCCGTAAAAAATTTATAAATTTTGTAATAAAAAGTATCCTATGTTCATTCTGACACCGCTAAGAGTATATGTACAAAGTTTCATGATGATCTGTTAAGTAGTTTTTGCGTGAAAGCTTAACAAACAAACGGACTTTCGCATTTATAATATTAAGTATAGATATAAAGGCAATATTTATTAAAAATATTTTCAGTTCAAATCATTGTAAGTTTAAATTTTAAATTAACGTAATAACAGCAGTTTATCATGATCGTGCAGTTTATGAAGTTTCTTCGTCGCTGAATGTGTTCAGTTCATTTAAACCATGCAAATATAATTCAATTTTTAATAATTGTATTGCATTTTTTTCTTTTTCGATCAGTTCATTTAAATTGTTATTTTCATATTGCAACCTTTGTATATTAATTTTGCGTTGTTCCCGTTCATTAACTTTCTTTGATCTGAATTTCTTCACAGCCTATAATATATACAGAAAGAAAAGAAATTTATAGAAATATTTTCCGATTATAGGTCATACCAAGAATGATACAAATCACGTGAAAATATCGAAACAGGCTCTCAGTAGTTTTACAACATATATATTTTCAATAGATTCATATCCGCTGAAGAGCAAAATTATCACGATAGTTGTATTATTCTTGGTTTTCATAAACCCGTCACTACTGTCGAAATGTGAATGGTTCACAATAAAGAGTGGTATTCATTTATTCAATTATCAGTAGATGATGTAGATACAAAAATTGTAAACCTAGCAATTACGAGCAAGTGGGTAAGACTGTGTCCGAAAACCTGTTTTCAAAAAGAAACTGTTGCTGCGGGAACTTGTAGTTTATAGGATAGAGGGGAAAAGGGGTATCAGGATAAAATATGGCTAAAATAAATAATTTTATATGAAGTGGAATGTCAGAAAATTGCCCGACTCATGATGTTCGTCTGAAAAAATAAGTTTCCAATAATGAGCAATAAGAGCACATGAATGCATATAAATATGTATAATTCTTAGAAAAAGTATTATATCGAAGTATTTTATGCGTTCGATTAAAATCTTTTACAAACAGTGAGTACCACTAAACAACCTAAGTTTGATCAAAGATTTCGTTATGTTATAATCAAGAATGATAGAAATTAGAGACCATCAGATGGGAAGTGGCCATTTTTAGAATTACTGATAATTTTATTGCTCTTTCCCGTTCTTTGTTTCACGGCGTACATTGTCGTAATCGTTGAAATCTGTCATTTTTGATTATAATATAGAGAAAGGACCTTTCTGTTGATTGCAATTTTTCGCTGGGAAACAATTTCCTTCGAATTTGGCATTTTTGCAGACTTTTTATTCAACACTTATTCTTAATTAAGCTAGCGGAGAACACGTACATGCAAATAGTATGCAATCTTCTTTCACAATATAACGAGTTAGATCTTGCTGACAATGCAATTTTCTAAAAATTATTTCCTTTTGACAGTCAATATGGCGGACATGGTTGCATTTCCCGTTTCATATACTTATTGAAAATGCTTTCTTAAATAATACCGACTTAATAATATTCTATAAATATATTGGGTTTGATTAAGATTTACAACCATGTGAGATTATTTATCCATTTTAAAAAAGAACAAATAAAGAAAATACCTAAAAAATAATTTTCCGCTTCTTTGGTTTGATTTGATTTAAGCCGATGTGACTAATATACGATAGGTGGCGCCTTGTTATAAACTTTGATATCGCGCAAAAACTGGCTTGCTTTCAACAATTCAAATACTATTGTTCTTGTAACGGTTATTTGTAACAACAACAATTTTGTATACTTTAACCAGGATTTAAGTTTGCCACGAAGTTTGTGACACTTAAAGGGAAACGTAGAAGACTGCATAAAAAATATGTATGAATGATCAGCTGAGTCGATTTAGCCATGTCCGCCTGTCTGTATATCTGTCTGTAAATCTGCCTGTATATACGCGAAATAGTCGCCCAGTATTTGAGATATTGATCTGCAAATTTGCACACATCCTTTTCTCCCCAAGGAGCTGCTCAATTTTCGGAACCGCCGATATCGGACCACTGTAGCATATATGTACATACATAGCTGCCATACAAACTGAACAATTAAAATCAAATTTTTGTATGTAAAACTTTTTTTTTGACAAAATAATTTCACAAAATTTGGCATGGATCATTGTCCGAAGCAATACCACAATCCTCTAATATATTTTTCAGCTTGGACCAGCTGTCATACAAACTAAACGATCAAAATAAAATTTTTGAATGTATTTTGGTAACTCTTAGTAAACTTCGACATTCAATGGGAAGTATTGTAATAACCTCAATACATAAAGGTAATTCATGAGGATGAATTATTAGGCTCACAAAGAGATCAATTAAAAAATTAAGCTATGAACCCACCCGCACCCACATTTGCGGGAGTTAAAAATGTGGTCCTCATCAATATGATTATGGTCCCAGTAAATCAAGAGGACTGTTCGGTTCAAAGTTATATTGTAGCGGTATATCTACAGAATAATGGTATAAAAGAGCATTAAAGTAGCTTTATTTGGATTTATATGAGGTCTAGTAATCCATTATTGTACCAATAGATGGCTTTGGTAATTTGGATTTTTCCTTGTCACAGTTGGACAATAGCAAAGAGAAAATTCGACGTATCCAGGCGGCTGAAAATGTGACTCGCGTTTATGGTCCTGATACTGTAGAGTCCGTTCGGGTAATTTTGATGTCAAAGTTGCAACGCACTCAGGACAAATGTCGAAAGTATCGATATCGTTGAGTATTATGCGTCATGTAAGCACTGTATCGATGGCTCAGGAGCTATATATTGGGCAAGTAACCGTTCAGATTACACTAGTTAACGCAAAAAAACCTTATGGACCAACAAAGTCGATACATTTCTGAAGCGGATGGTCACTGATGACGAAAAGTCCGTTAGTTACTACAACATCAAGCGAAAATGGTTTATATTTGACCTAAAGCAGATCGCATAGAAATGATATTTTGAGCTGTCGACTTTTGGCAGACAATGTTGAGACTCCGAGAATTACGATTATTGTGGAAATCTGTGGGTGGGAGGTTTATTAGGTTACAATTTAAATCAGCTGCGAGTGCTTTTTTCTCCTTTTAAGGATTCCTTATTTTTATCATTCTAACGGATCGAACGAATATAAAATATTGAATTTATTAAGTCAATGCACTATCATTTGCGCACACTTAACGCAAGTAATTAAATCACGAAGGTGCACATATATACAAATACACATATGTGTAGTGCTATTTGCACCTGCCAGGAAGAGGGTTGGTGAAATTACTACAATCGGCAGGTTCTAAAAGCAAAACAGGTGCACATCTGCAATTCCTTTGTGTTTATACACATGCACACATGTTAGAATGGAAAAAGGGAGCTAAGCAAACCATCTTTGCGACCGGATGCGGCAGTAAATATTAATTATTTCCAGCTGGCAACCCCACATTCACCACTGGCCACTTTACACTATCTGCTAACCGCCAACCGCCAACCACCTATTTGCCTATTCGCTCCAGTGTGTGTGTGTAGAGGTTGGTAAGCCCAAAACTCGCTTTGTCCCAGCTAACTTTTCATAATCATTTGTCAATCCGGTCGTGATAGTGGCGCTGATCTCATTCACTGGCCGTCGATGATATTATCTTGGGTGACTTTGGAAAAATTCCACAAACACTGAACATCTTCTCACTGTTTGCTGAGATGTGTTGTTTTATTGTTTTAGTTGTTGTATGGGTTGGGTATAGTGTCCCCTCCCCACTTAAGTGCAAATTACGGTCTGACAGTTCCGCCAGGTGCGAGCAGTTATTTGTCTTCGATTTGCCTTGAAAATCTGGTTGTACTAAGCTGGTGCTCCCGGTGTTGCGTTGCCACCGTTGAGCACTTGTTATGGCCCCCGGATTTATTTTGTAATCATAAACTTAATTTTCATTGCCTCCCTTCGGTGATAAAATGCGAATGTGAATGCGCGCTTTTATTGGCTTAGCTGACCAACGAATGCGTCAACTTGATTTTACTAGCCCTCACTTGTTTCGACTTGTTCAACATATGATTGCAGACATACGAGTATATATAAAACCCTGCAAGGAAAACTTAGGTGTAGGCAATATTTTGCCTAACTCTTACTCACATACGTTACTATAATATGGAAGGTCGAACTGTTCTGCAGGTTTTCAGAAAAATACAGACTACTTCTATTCGGTAGTTCCCTATATATATATATATATATATATTTTTTTTTTTTTTGATACCCCAAAAGTGGAGATTTATATAACTTTCACGATTTGAGAACGTGCGCGATATTTTTTTTATATATTTGTGTGAAAATATATTGCCACTGTTGGTATTCATTCTTCCAGCTTTCTACATTAACCCCTACCATCTCACTGGCAGATATGATATCAGATATGAATACATAAAATATTTTTGGCTATCCCTACAGGGATTTCTTTATTCTGAAGCTGCGCTAATTCACCGTCAATGTAGGTTTAAATACCCACATATGTGTCTACAAAGTCGTATTTACGCATTGAAGAGAATCGAACACACAAATTTGTATGCAAGTCGGCTATTTACTTGCTTCCAACCAGTCTTGGAATTGTTGTTTGTCATGCCATTGCCGACACCACTTTAGCGCTGAGCACATCAAGTTATCATCATCACCATTTTCCGCCTCGAGTTTCAACTATTAATTACCTCTTTGCTTTGTAGAGTTGTTAATAAGCAAGTTTGTCGGTTATTTGCAATTTCTCAGATAGTTGAAGCAGATTACAGCTCTTTTTAGATGCGGCACGTTTTGTGGCAGCGAGAAGAAGCTACAGATTTTCTGACTTTTATTTAATGTAATTAACTTTTATTTCAGCATTAATACGAACATAATTACACACATCTATTTGTTTGCACGTATGTATGTGACACCTGTTCTTAGATCTACACACATATACACAGAATGAGACGAATTTCTTTTGGTTACTTTCTCGAAAAAAATATACAAATTATATGAAAAATATGAATTCAAAATCATATTTTCATTCTTTTGAAGTTTTCCACTTTATTCCAGAATTCACTTATTGACACACGCGCCTCAAATTGCTGGTTGCACTCAAAATATTGACAGCAACAAAACGTTACATTTACACTTTTGTGGAGGCGACACCGGTAATGATCGCTTGGCGCCACCGAAATTGTGATAATGTGAAAACAAAAGGCAAATTTACTGTCATGCTTGGGGCAAGTGCTGCCCACTTTCGAGTAAATAACCGCTTTCAATGCATCGAGACACTGTTTTGCTTGCAACATTGCTGTTTGTTGCGCACGAGTGCGGAAATGTACAAGCGTATGCATAAACACATCGATCGGATTTGCATCTGCCATTCACATTTTGTTTGAAACCTGAAAGGTTATGTTGATGTACAAGTTGAATAATGTCATATGCTCAAAAATTACCCGGACTGCCAAAAAACCTACTTTATCTTTATTTCGCCTTTAAAATAGGCTCCTGAGCCAATATAAGCATGCCAACGCTTAATTTAATTTTCCATACTTCAGTTATAAGTCTCGGCTCACTTTTAGAGCTCCATTTAGTAGATTATTGGATAGTTTCGACGTCATATTCATAAACTCTTGTCTCATCAGCAGTATTAAGCGAGTGATGAATGTAGTGTCTCCAGCTACGTTGCCGAACATCTCTTTTGAAACCTTTACTCGACGTCGTTCTTGCAAGAAATTCAAGCCATGAGGTACGAGGGTAACATTGACGCCCAAAATATTAATAAAAATGTGTTGAGCCGATCCATAAATGAAGTTGTGATCCTCTGCTGTATCTCTGATGCCAACACTACGATTTTCAAACACTATTACTTTAGCTTTTTCGCTGTTATCGTCATTAACGGAGGTGGATGGAGGACTCGCATGAGGCAAGTTTTCGATGACTTCACGACCTTCACTGATTTCTTTGACCTACTCAAACGTTTGCGTTCGTGGTAAAGTAGGCTCTCCAAAACACTTCTACAACATTTTCAATGATTTCGTAACCGCGATACCATTGAAAACACAAAATTTCATTCAACCTCTTTGTTAATTTTTTTCCATAGTAAAAGCCAGACAAAGTTTCTGTTGTACTAAAAAAATCGGGAAAAGGTTTTATCGATTCGGTTTGCGTGTCAATTTTGATCAGATGATACATCTAAGTTTCCAAAATATTTCAATTCTCTCGTTTCTGGATTTTTCAGCCGCTAAGTGTCATTTCCGCCTTGGAACAATGGAATAATAGTCAAGTTACGCCATCTCTTGGCGAACCGCACTAAAATAGTTATAGACACAATAAATTATGCTGTTTTATTATATATATGCCTATATATAATGCTTAAGTAATCATTTCCATACGTTGATGATTTCATATGGTCTCTGCGTACAAAATAATATTTCATTCGAGAGTCATTACAATTTTCAAAAAAATTTAACACAAAATAATGCGGTTTGTGAAATGAGCAATAATTCTCTCAATAACATAATAATACTAAATTGCAATATTTTCTGGCCTTACTTTCACTCAACCAATCGCTTCCTTTGATTTTATTTTATATTTGAATCCTTGTCTTCAATTCGTGTGTGTTTCGAGGAAATTTAATAGTGATCAAAATTCAATAGCTGCGTGCTACTGTTGGAAATGATGTCGTTATTGTATTTGAACTGGACGACACGACAACTAATAAATAGCCCAATGGCCTCTTTGGATCAACTAAAACAGTAGCCGAAGCTAAATTACGGTATAACTGCAAATAAGTGTGTGTAGGAAATATAAAACTTGCAAGCTAACCGAAATCCAAATTGCACCTGCCACCGAAATTTTTAAATTTCTACCGTCAAGGCACAAGGCAAAAATGAAAGCATGTGTGCTGTCAATTTGCACTCGGTTGAGATCGTGCTAATTTGTTGTTTTTGTGTAAAAAAAAAAAAATCATTGCAATTTGATATTTTAAAAATTATTTGATGTCTCAATTTTCGGACAGCTGAGATGAAGCGTAAAGAAAGAAAGCTTTCGCCAAGTGTTCTATTTGGCTTCAGGTTACATGGGCAGCACTTATAACTTGCGCATGCCCCAAACTTATGTATATATTGTATATGAGGCATCTGCTTATGGATGAAGGCGGTTTCAATCCAATTAAATGCTTAGTGTTATTTAAAAATTTAAATTTAATTGACTACACATAAAGCGACGAATGAGCACAGATTAAAAACTCATTAGGAGCGACAAGTGATTAACAAACCCAAAAAAGGGTACAAATACATGCTTATACACATGCATACATAACGATATAAATGTGATGGCACTAAAATCAAGTTAAGGAGCTTTAAAATACCTCGAGGCCAAATTGCAGGTTTCACATTACGGCAGAGACACATGAAAAATTGCCAAAGGACCCCAGCATCGGATAATGTGTTATGGTGCATTGGCGGTTTGGCTGGGGTCCATCCAGTGGTTACTGATTGCAAATGCATGCCATCAAAGTGGAATTTAAATTTCTTTGTTTCGAATTTTCTTCTCATCTCAAATGAGCTCAATTTAACTTAATGATCCGCGTAAATGCTCTCGTTTAACACAAATTAAAGTACAGAGAAAATTAACAGAATCGGCTGAATAATAAATTTGTTATACTAGGAATAAGAAATTACACTGTGAGTTATACTCGTATAGTTTTTAGGTATTGAAAGTAAAATCAGAATAATATCTGATATTTACTTTGGTAAATTTTTTAAAATTTAGTTTTTTTTCGTATAACACGGCTTTAACCCGTAGTATTACTAAAACTCTAGGATGGTACAGATTTGTGGGACTGTGAGGAAATGTACTGCGGTTGTCATCAGCTCTTAAACTTTTTTGAGAATTGTTGTCTGACCAAATCGAACTTTTTAAGAAATATTAGCTGACAGATTTTGAGTTAAATTGAAGGCAAATGCGTTTAAATTCATTTATAGGTACAACTGTTGGAAGGTAGGAGTCTTGCGGTTTTAGTTGTGAAAATTGTATACACGAGGACAAATAACCCGATTTGACAGATATTGAGATTGAACCACATGCGTCGAGGTTGTTTATAGATAGATGTGTTGGGTAGGCTGTGAGACTCCCTGGGATTTAATAACTAGGCGGGCCAGTGATCAAAATATGTTAGTTGAGACAACATTGGTCCGTCTTGGTGAATGTTTTATATAGACAGATTTGTTCTTCGATTGTAGCGTTGCCAAATTTCGTGAAAATATCTTGTAGAATAAAAAAGATTTCCAAATCAGAATTTGATATTGATCGATCAGTTTGTATGGCGGCTATAGTGGTCCGATATCGCTTTTTGAGGAGAAAAGAATGTGAGCAAAATTTTTGATCAATATTTCAAAAAATGAGAGACTAGTTCGCATGTATACAGACAGACGTACAGACAAAGATGGCTAAACCGACTCAGCTCGACACTCTCTCAATCACTCTGATCATTTTTATATGGATATACTTTATAGGTTTTCCGATGATTTCTTTTAGGTGTTACAACACCTAACCTTCATGGCAAACTTAATATACCCTGCTCAAGGTATAATACAGACCATACCAATATTAGTTGGAGCATCAAGTGAACTACAAGCATCTGAGTAGCCGAACGATGAATACTATTCGTAATACATGGCGAACAAAAGATAGCTAGCAAAGCGTAAAAATAGATGTGATCATCTCGCGCATATCCGATAACAATAACGAAGACCAAAAACAAGGAAAATTGGCAAGAAGGCTACGTGCCGAGTTAATCCGTTGATCCGTTGCTGCGAAGGTGTCTCGATCCTTTGCATTGTTTCGACGTTTTTTTTACACTTATTCTGTCTTAAAGTAATTTTTGAAAGGCTTGCTACGCTTCATCTACTTTTTTAGCCGCTGTCTTCTTCAGATTGTTGCAGTCCGCGGCCTTTGTTAGCATAAGACAAGTGCGTGGGCCTTGATTATGTGGCAAATTTTGTACGCGCTCAACTACGCGAGCACTTAGTTAAAGTTATAGGCAGACAATCAGCCAGCAGCTGCAATCGCCGCGTACTTTCATGAACAACAACAACAACAAGAACAACAAAAACACATAGCAATTCTAAACAATTGTTGTAACAAGGCTCAGCGATTTTGCAGCAGAGAAATGACTGTGCTTTACTTGTTCTCCTTGTTGTTTACCTGCAATTCTTTAAATTTGCAATGTGCAACTTGCAACTTACAGCATTGCGCAAAAATTAACGAACCACAAAATGCGGCGACATCTGCGCCCGACAATCAACGTTGAATGCATCGCCCATTCGCTGTTGGCTGTAACGGAGGCAGAGGCAGAGGCAGAGGCAGCTTCTGGGGAGCCACCTTCAATGAATTCTACATTATTATTATTGTAACTATTCTTGTTGCTGCTGTTGGGTGTTTTTTTTTGGTGTTGGAGATGTTGCAGCTGCAAGCTGCAAATGCTTTCCGTCCGACAATGCAGCCACAACATGCTTTGTCTATAAATGTAGAATTCTTCAATGTTGTCGGTTGGCGTATTCTCTTGTTATTATTGCTGTTGCAGCAGTTATTTTGCCGGTACCGCATCGTTTGGTAGCTTATGGCGTTGCACTGAAATTGTTGTCATTTCCGGAGGCGTAGAAGGTGGCCGCACCAAGCCAACATAGTCCTGTGTCTGTTCCAGGGTTTACCTGGTCTTTCGGTTGGTGAGAATACGCTGGAAGCGTCGTTTGCGGCATTGCGTTTGCTTCAAGACACTAAAGCTTTTACTGTGGCAGCTGTGTTGTTATTGCTTCTTTTTTTTTCGGTCTCACACTGCACAATTACTTGCCTGTTGTGAGAAATAATCACGCATTGCCATTTGCGGAGGCTGCAATAATGCGCCTTGGTACTGCTACTCGTCTATGGACGAATGTTCGGCGCGGGACGTTATCGGCGCCAGGCGATTATATTGTGTGGGCCGACATGGCAGTTTGCGCAGGTGTTCTACAGACGGGAAGGCGCCATAACGCCATAACCTACACTATCTTACTAGAAATTCTTTGGCGTATTCACATATACATATAAAAGTATATGTGTGTGTTCGCATGATTGCAATCAATAGCAGTTAACATCGTTTTCTAGGCTTGTTAAGTGCTTGCAAGCAGATGCCAAAATACTAATGTTAAGTAGTGTCAAGTACGTTTAGTGTTGTTTTAAAGAAATTTGACCGTTATATTAAATTTTTTTAAATGCATAAAATTATACTAATAAGTTTTATTGGTGCTATAATTTTCAGAATAATGAATGAAATTAAGGAGGCTTTGGACTTTTTAGGATTGATATGAGGAGATTTTTTGCTCAAAGCTCATATCGTTCCGCAATCACTGTATTCGCC